GGATGGATGGATGGATGGATGGATGGATGGATGGATGGATGGATGGATGGATGGATAGATGGAATGAATGGATACACACTTGATACTAAACGTTCAGATCGCATTCGGATGCTGCGCTGTTAATTTATTCTTGTTTTTGCTGCATTTTTCTATTCCTCCATATAGTTTGATGAGGTTTTGCTGCTGTATTGACAAAAATACTCCTGCCTCTCTTGACCTACCATTTTGTACCAACAAGGACAGAAGAACAACGGTATGTCACATCATGGGCTGATCAGCAAGTCATCAATGTGAGACTGAAAGGGCAAAGTAGGATAATGTACTAAATGGTTAAATTAATCAGATTAATGGTTTTAGATTCACAGGTCACTGGCAAAGCACTTTGGTTCGTTTCTCGAGAGTAAAACATTTGCATATGACAAACAGCATCCCAATAAAAAGTCTTGTATTCAGATAAGAACACGACCGAAAAAAGGATCAAGAAAAGAAGGGTTTGATGTAAAAAAGCCTTTGAAAGACTCCAGGTATTCTGAAATTCTATTTTTCTTTTATCAATTGTTATAAAATAGATATATTCCCTTCCTCCACCAACGCAGTCACACACAAATATCCTTAAAAACTCCCAGCTCCCAGCTCCCAGCTCCCAGCTCCAAGCTTTATTTTTTTCTAATATGTTTATTTTTTTTGTGTTTTATATAATTATATTATATATTGTTTTTATTTCCAGGGAAAAAGATGCAATGTACACTAGATTTGTGTTGAAAAAAGAAAACATGGTATTTATTTTTTGCTCTAAATTTTCGACTTTTATTGATAAMCTTAAACAACCTATAGGAACAGCAGAGTCAGAGCACAGCTAACATGCAGATCAAATTGGAATTTAGCTTGTCAGATTTTAGGGATTTTAGGGGAAAACTTTCAGAACCTGGAGAAAAACTCTTAAATCAAGTGCGGAAAACCAAGATATTCATATATATTCTACACGTAGATTACAACTAGTTTTCATATTCATAATCATTGTTCCAGGAAACACTAGAAGCCATAGAACGATTATCAAGGGCTCTTGGAACTCACCCATCTTYTTTTAGTTTTGCTGGAATAAAAGATAAAAAGGCAGTTACTCTACAAAATGTTGCTGTCAAAGGAATTACACCTGAACAGTAAGTTCGTTTTTCTTTTAGCAATTTGTTTGTCTGTTTTGTTTCGTAGTATCGCACGCAATTCTACTACGGTATAAGTTTGATAGAAAAAGAGCTGCCGGCCAACATAAACCTGTATTAGTGGCTCAAAATTGCAATACTCTTAAATGGACCTCTTTTTAACGTTGGCGTAATGTCTTCCCATTTCAGACCACGTGTCATTCTCTTAAAAATGAGATTCTTTTTTTTTTTTGTATTTGTATCTATATACACGTGTCTTGTCATGCGCAACTGTGTATAATCTAGGGAATGTAAGGTTTCATCTTTCTATATGATAGGGATTCAGGGATTAGCCTGTGTACAGCCGCTTCCCACCCTCCCCCTACAGAAAAACCCAGGCTATTTAGGGATTTAAATTGTATTATTTTTTATTTCCTCAAAGAACTGAGGTGTCACACTCATTGAACAAGATGTGACTCTTAAATGGTTTTCTTATTAAAGCATTCTGATTGGATGCCTATTTTTTTCCTCTTTTTTATTTCCACTAAAGCACTTAAACGTTTTTTCCATAGGCTTTCTCTGGCGAATACCAACGCATCTTTACCAAACATAGCGGTAGGAAACTACAGAAGGGAAAAGAAAGCAATGGAAAAAGGACAACACAGTGGTAACGCCTTCCGAATCGTTATACGAGATGTACACTTGAATCCACATGAAGGAACGGACATTAGGTAAGATGTAGGCGTGTTAATTTTGAACACTTCTACCTTTTTGCCTTGGCGTTCTTTTGAGCATGGCAGCCATTGTTGTTCCGGTTACTCAGGTCTACCTCCTACCTTAGTGTTCATTTGCGCATGGCAGCGATTATATTTCAGCCCACTCGTACCTCCCTATGTTCGCCCTTCTGGTAATCAATTGCGCACGATCGAGATGAGTGCTTAAGATGACCGTCATTGTACTTACTCTCTTATAAACCTACTCTACTCAATTTTTTCCACAGATGTAAAGATACTGTCAACGCAAATGTCAAAGTAAGTGACGTTCATCCTTTTCATTTTTAACTTGAGTGCCTACCTCAAAGTAACAGGATTTTTTATAAGTAAGAATTTTGGTTGTAATATTATTAAAAATCCTTTACAGGAAGCTGTGGAGAATGTCAAGACACATGGCTTCATTAATTATTTTGGTCGACAAAGGTTTGGACAAGATGGCAGCACGAGGTCAGACGAGATCGGTCTTGCTATGCTACAAGGTGACATGGTTAAAGCAGTAAAGCTTCTTCTCAGACCAAGTACCAACAATGATGATACAAATGATGCCAAAAGGTTAGAAAACGCATTACAATAACTACTATATAAAGAGCAGATATTGGAAACATGACCTGCGGTGACGTGCCTTGCTTTGATCAGACAATCAGAGACCAAGAACACCCACACGGTCCAATTAGATGACTTGAATATAAAGGGGTTTGCATGCACTGCTACAGCGCTTTCTCTTACTGCTGTAGTTCATGCCTGGGGWCGCGGGTTTGATTCTCGGCTGAACCACAGCTATGTGATTTTGTTTGATGCGTTGTTATCTCCTTTGTCTCGATGTTTTTCTACCGGCCCTGCGCTTTTCCTCCCTCCATGAAAATCAGCATATGAGATCAGTGCTGYGYGTTGCTTGAAATATAGAATGTAGTGATAGTGYGCGYGAAGTAAACCGCACGGAAGATMCYCTTACMSGGAGTGATGGTTGTAAAATATATGTAAAAGTTTAACTAAGGCATTTCAGTATGACATGTTTCAACACTAATAAGAGCTTCCCGAGCTTCGGTTTAGTACTTCCGGTTGACACTAAGTTCTCCTACCTTGTCCAGGTATTTCCAGGAAACTGGTGATATTCCAGGAACGCTGTCCAGGATGCCACCAGACAGAACACGWGAGTGCTTGATACTCAAGTCACTTCACCGACACGGACAAGATCTCGTAAGTATCATATTTTCATAATTGTGGCTACCTTGACCGATTAATCCATTCTTTGGGGGCTGTCTGTCGGAGTTGTTGAAACTTTACTGCAATCAAACAAGAAGTAGGATTGAGTTTGAGTTTCACTTTTTGCAGCGATTGGGGAAACAATTTTGAGATATTACCTAGTGTAAAGTCGCTCCTGAAGATTGTCTCGTTTTGTTATGACAGTCAAAAATATTTCATTGCATGAAACTATTTATCGTCCCAAGGAAATACGGTTGAGTGTGTCTCACAAGTTGAATAACATATCCTGTCGGTGCAACTGCCACACACTTTTTTTTCATCGCTCAATTGAAAAGAGATAACTAGCTAAAAACTAGTGTGAGCTGCRTCGGTGTTTCTAATGAAACAGTARTGRTAAAAGGRTAAATTTTACACCSTGAAAAGATGARAAAACTTACTGAYGTTTCGGACGCTAGTCCTTCAYCCTTCTTTCTATCACCTCTCTCTCTTGTACGACTCCGACGAAGGACTAGCRYCCGAAACGTCAGTAAGTTTTTTTCATCTTTTGAGAKTYGAGAGAYAAGTTGYAAGGRAAATTGCTCAGTGTAACACGACCTTAACAGAGTCAATCGCTGTGTTCACCAGGATGGTTGTACTAAGGCCTTCTTCRACATACCCTACTCTATGCGCCTACTGTAYGCCCATAGCTATGTAAGTCTTCTATGGAACAAGATGGCGTCCTAYAGRCTGAAGGAATACGGTGWGTTGGACATCGTAGAGGGAGATCTTGTGCATGACTCYTCATYTAGCAGCTTTAATACCTCGCARTSTGYTGGCATAGGAACTGATGATACACCTCCAGCCGAAGAGGRCAGACGAGTTAACACGGATAYAYATTCCATAAGAACTGCGCCTTTTGACAAAAGAAACAAAAACATACAGACGAGCGAAGACACTGAAAAGATCCACACTGATGATAAAAGTGGTAGAAAGTACAACATCACCACAAGTATCGATAAGTCACACATCAAAGTTGTCTCGGAGGAAGATGTTCGTGCCGCCAAATATACCATACGAGATCTCGTTCTCCCTATACCGGGTTACAATGTCATCTATCCCACTAATCGACTCAAAGACAGGTATAGTACGGTTGTTTCTTTTATAAAGATATTTTTACAAGAATAGGTCCACAATGCTAAGTGGCCCGATTTTTTCCAATTTAGTCCATATTCATCTTAGTTTCAGTCAGGCTTGCGCCAAAATCGCACTCGCCACTCGGAGATGCGCGCAGAGCGTGAAGCAGTCCTTCAACTTTCAAAACCTTCAATTTTTGTCGACACCGCCCTGAAACAACCTCTGGACTGATCAAAGTCACGGCATGTCTAACTCACAGATCGAACCCTGAAACAACCTCTGGGCTTATCGAAGTCAGGGTACGGCTAACTCACAGATCAAATTGGAATTTAGCTTTGTTAGGAGGGAGAAAACTGGAAAACCCTGAGAAAAACCCTTGAATCAAGTGAAATTGAGACCAAGAATGCCGAGTCCAGGAATCGAGCCCATGCAAGACTCTAGAGGTGAAAAGCAAGTGCGCTACCGTTACGCCAGTCTTTGGGGCAAAACAAGAGGCGAGTACGTCACTTGTGCAAAGAAACGCTAAGAAGAGCTTTGAGAAAGCTTAATGATTCTCAATTCAAAGATTTAATCATTTAAWATTTTTGATTTTGTTATCCAGATATCAAGAAGCACTTGAAAGGGATAGTCTGACCAGCAAGAGTTTCAGGTAATAACCTTTCAATTAATTATTTTTCCCTTTCAACATCTCCTCCTTATTCCTAATTCCATGTCTCCACATGAATCATTAATGATTGTCAACTTTTGGTCCAATCAAAGCGTCCATAACTTCACGCGTATGGACCTTTTTCCCCGGATTTATTAGCCTTCCGAGGTGGAGGGAAAACGGGGTCGAGTTGGAATTGCAGTGCATTGTGGGGTGGTTTTAGGAGACATTCCCAAGACGGCGCAATCTCGTACCCAGAGCCTGCGTTTCTTGTGCCTACGGCGGTGAACAAGAAGGGAGGACGTTCTTCTCCGCAGGCCATAAGAAACGCAGGCTCTGGGTACGAGATTGAAGACGGCAGAGCAATGCACTGAGGCAAGAGAATATGAAGTACTTAATATTCTCTTGATTGAGGCAATGCACGCTTGACCCATATTTTTCTCTTCAACCTTGGAACGGCTTATAACCGTTAAAGTTATCCTCACTATATAAGTAGTGATTTCGGCTACGTCTCTTTGCCGGTTTCGAACCGGATAAAACTGACACTCCTTCTGATTTAGTAAATACAGTATTTTTTAAAACGGTCTAAAGCGGAACGAATAGCTGAGTTATTCTTCTTCTTGAGTTACTACTGTTTTTATCTCTTGTCTTTTTGCTCTCTTAACTTTCAATAGTCATTAACGATTAGTTATTCTAAAAATGCCTTTCGTGCGTACGTCCAGTTTGCTTACTGGAAGTCCTGCTTTTTTGAATTAAGATGTTTATTCTTCCGGGGTTCTTTTTTCGGCATCAACTGATCCGTTCTCCGTCACTGCTGTTTATAGAATCAAAAGCTTGGGTATGACATTGCCTGGCGCATATCGAAAGGTAATTGCTGTTCCAAAGGACCTTGAATACAMCTGGATTGACGACAATACGACTTCTGCTCATGGCGCTAAACAATSGGTGGGAGTTTCTCCAGGAAACTCGTATCCTCTAAAAATAAATCAAACTCAAATATGTAGCTTATCTGTTAAATATCATGAGAACTCCGACAAAACTGAATTGCGTGGGAAAACGACGACCAAAAGTGAAAGAGATGGTACGAGTGTGTCAAATGTGAACGAGATTGACGATGCTGGACTACTTGAGCCKTGCAGGAAGCGCTTAAAGCGTAGTGATGAAAGAACTATGAACTGCGTTGAAAATAACATGGAAATATCATTCAAATCGCAGCCATCGTGTTACGCTACTGTTTGCTTGCGTGAATTAATGAAATCCTAGCTTTACTTTTGTCTTCGTTCATTTTCATAAAGTATTTTACGAAGTTTAATGGTTTTGTTTTCTTTACGATAGTTCACTTACAAACACTGAACTCTTTGAAGGAAAATCCTTTCAAAATACTTACAATTTTAACATTTTGGTTTTAAATCAGTGAAAAAACCTATAGTAAGATATCTTGAACCATGCTTTTAAATAGAAACTAGATTTTTCCGGAAACATGCCAATTGATGGGTTGTAAGCATTCCCAAGAGAGTTAAAAGACAAAAGCATGGCGGTCGTTAACAATGGATGCAAATAAGAAATCTTTTGCCCGAGAGGCCACGATGACGGAACGTGCAATCGAAGAATTTGTATATATTGTCTTTTTGATGGACAGAATAGAATGTTGAGTTGTGTAAAAGGAATGCACGTTTTGTTAACGAAAGTGTTGATCAGTATCATTTAAGTGATTTTATTTATTGAGGGTAACACGTAACAGCCGATGACCTTGGCCCTCCCTCTGTCTACATTTACTGGGGAGTGTGTCAAGATGACGTGGCGGTAAAACAGTAGCCGGCCTTTCACCTCGGGGTTCAACTTCCATGCCCCATGTGAACTGGTTATAGTTCGTGTGCTCCGGGCTCACACATGGACTGTAAATTGCTGTCAGAGGCGCCTTCACATTGACCCCGTTGAGCTGCGCCTCTGCTGTATTTTCGTGGTGAATAAAAACAATCCTTCCGGTTCTTTCGTAAGGACAACCGTAGAGCAGAGAGGATATCTATTTTCTTATTAGTCATAGCTATAGTTTTATTACCATACTGGGAGAGTCTTCTTTTCATTTCCCCCAAGCCAGAGAATGAAATTGAAAGAAGACTCTGCCCGAGCAGGAAATGTTTTTATAGACTTACGTGTATCATGTTTTTAAATGTCCGTTTGATATTGCTATGTAAAAATAATAAATATAACGATAACAATAACGAATAAAATTCATTGGATAYCCTCACTGCTTTACGGTTGCCGTTACGAAAGGACTGAATGATTCTTTTTGGTTTTGTGATGTAAAGGAAATCCGACTTTCGTTATAAGGTCGTTATTCAAGTCGCGGCACGTTATTTTGTGATAAAAATATCTTTATGGAGTTTTAGATTGGGTAACACACTCTATAATCTAATAACATTTATACYCAACCAATTGCCTTCCATCTAATAATTTTCAGTGTCTGAATACGTGTAGCAATACACGATGATCAAAATAGCCAATAAACTAATGCTGGCAAAACGGGTAATTGAGAAATGGAGAGTAGAAAAAAAAAATACAAAAAAGGCTTAAATTTTAGAATTATTTTTAATCACACAGTAAGCTACGTGTAAAATTGTCTTGCCTGATGGACTAGAATACCGAAGACGTCGTGGGTTTGAGTCCCGCCAAGGGCTTATGATATTTTTCTCTTACGAGACGAACTGATCGATAAAAACATACGATCTAAGAAGTATACAAGATGTAATACTATGGACTTTAGAGAGCTCACTTTATATATTTCATAAATATTGGCATTCATGACTTATTTTGGTATAGGAATCGAAGTTCATTGATATTTTGAGTACTTTGTACTTCAGTTTGTAAATCTTTTGTGAAAATGTTCTTTAAAAGGCAATAATAATATTATTAATTGTGACCGGAAATAAATCATAATATAAGACTGTCACACACTCATATGGGTGGAGTAATAATGAAAAGGTATTTAAATGATCGCATCCTTGGCCATTACATCAAACATCGCCTCCAACAAACGATTCGGAAACGAATACAGTACAGAGAAGTTGGTTTTATCACAGCGAATTGAAGATGACGTATACAGTGTTTTTCTATCTTCAAGTAATTTTGATTTCGAGTAACATGTGTAATCTCGTAGCCATGTCGCCACCGAACTTGGACTGTCCACTACCTGAGGTGGGAAGCCATGGCGACATTAYATCAGTGCAGATTGTCGTTAAAGAACGTMAAAAGGGAATGAGTAACATGTACACCTACGGCGKTAAACTGAAGGAGGAAACTACCCATACGTTGTACAACAACGGGTCTATTTATMTCCTCCGAGACGGCGTCAAGGCTGCTTTTAAYGGGCGGCAAATATGTATTTCGGCGAAGGTGGTGTCTATTTTGGACCAAAGTGGCTCAAACGAAACRATACTTCAGAAATGTGAGCACAAATGCTTTGGGATTAATGAAACTGTTGYGCAAGYGACAAAGGTGCAAGAAGGAGGARTCTTAATGGCGAAAAGAATTCGAGGACTTTGCTGCGTATGGAGCTCGGAAACCTGGCTTGAGATTTCTCCCCAGAAGCCAAGCTACAAGTGTTTAAGTTGCTCAAGTGAGGAATGTGTAAAAAACTCGACAAAAGTCATTCAATGTGCACCTGGTATCGGCTGTTATACCATGGTCTTCACGATGAAACTTGCCAACAAGACRACCACCTATCAAATGAAAGGCTGCTCTAACCATAGGATTCTAAGAGGGAGAAGCTGCTGGAACGGTTGTCGAAAAATCGTCGTGAATTACAACATGTGCATTGAGTGCTGCTATGGAAACCTCTGTAATTCGGGCAAGAAAGAAAATTCTACAGAGATACCTACTAATGTACCAAAGAAAATGTGGAGAGCTGGTGGAGGAAGTAATGGGATCCATAGCTCTTGYTCYTCACTTCTCATGGCGTTTTTTCTWTTATTTGCCTTGTGGACATGATGGACGTGTCGTTGAGCGAGATACGCTTTCCGCTGAAGCTAATTTCGTACATCTAGCGCTGTGGATAGACAACTTAATTGGTATCCTAGGCGTCTAATGCCGGGCAAGGAGAGTCTTACTGAACTAATGCAAATACGATGGAATATGATGATATTCTTCAAAAGATCWAGCTTGGTTCAAAAAGTAACTTTTTGGCGTGTGAATGCATAGCGAAACATCAACCAGTGGACAACGCCTTTCGCAAGTTCCGATTCTGATGTACCAGTGAAAGCGCTAGTAAATGACTTCAGAAGTCCATTGTTTCCTTTCTCGATCGTGCAGCTATAACAATATATATATTTGTACTTGGGATYCATGAGAAATGATTCTTGGTCAAGTCTGGAACAACCTCTAAATCTAGGACCAATTTCATTTGTTCAATTAGTTTTGTGGTTTAGGGAAAGCGTCACAATATTTAGATTTGATTCCGGATTTATTATTATTACTATTGGCTTGCCGTTGATGACTCAGCCGTCAACGGAGAGAAAAAAGGCAAAAGCCAGTTATTCTATGGTATGTGCTTCTTCACCACCATTGGCCATAAAKGCGTTTACATATATTATGTAATTTTTACCTAGTGAACTATCTGCGAAATATTTATTGATTACCCTGCGAGCAGAGGTGTTTATTGATATTCTTCTTGTATAAAGATGAAATGTGAAATCATTCAGCAAGGGTTTTATTATTGTACCATTTCCTGAACTGCTTGATCGAAGGAAGATATTTGATTACATGTTGCATTTTTCACATTTATAAYCATTGTAAAATATTGTACAAACTTTAAAGGATAAAAACGTGTAAAATTTCTTTCACAATTAGGTTACTAAATATAGGCAAATATAAAGAAGCAGAAATAAATGATTTTAATAGCATTCAAAGTAATTCACGAGTTAAAAAAGATGCGTTTGTTCATCAAGAAGAAAAGACTGCGATGCCGAGTCGATGTGTTTTTTCCAGAGCAACAGACAAGGAAGTCTTCTGTTCAAATTTCTTACATATATTTTTGCAAGCCTACGTGTTCAAACCTGTAGAATTTTAACCAAAATCGAACTACATACAAAAGAAACCCGAGATGTTAGCTTTCTGACCACGTGGTCACTTAATGTCAATATTAGGACAGGATAATCCATACAAGGATCGTTGGTTATCCATTAACCATCAAGTTGACTCGAACGCGGGATAACGCTGAAAAACACTAAACATATCTCTAGTTTCCTGCCGTTTTCACCATGAATACTTTCGTGGTGTTKATGATATTTTGTATGTCGCTTTTTGGTGATGTAAAGAGTGTATCCGATGAGGCATTTGACTGCTATATGTGTTCTGGAGACGGCTGTAAGCAGAATCCACCAGTCGACAGTTGYCCGAGTGGACACCAGTGTTACAAGATGGAGGTTCGAAGAGACACTGATGTCGACAGTCCTTTCATCATCAAGGGATGTACAAACGATCAGACATTCTGGAAGAGAACTTGTTACGATGACTGCAAGGARAACCAACCTTTTGGTGTGGAAAATTCCAGGATTTGCATCTACTGTTGTGATGATTATCTCTGCAACTCTTCCATCAAAACAAACCCAGGCGTCTATGGAATTTTCTTGGCTTTTACTATCTTTATCGCCATCATACTCCTATAAATATAATCTTTTCAACTCAAACAAACAAATTCAGGATAAGGAACTTTATTGGAAAAGACATGAACGTAAAGTATTGGGAGTAGTTTATGGTATCGTAACTCCACCACGCTATGAAACAGAATCCTGCTTTCACCGTTGTAACCGTCACGAACGCGTTTCAGTTGTTTGTATGGTAACGCTTGTTTCTAGCARTTATCCCGATATGAAGCCAAACTAAACATATTCGCTTGCCTTTGGATTTTGTTCTCGCTTTCTCAGTCTCTTTATTTGTGTAGTAAGCTTTTTTAAACTATGCATTCTGTAGTTTAGAAGATTTTATCGGCAAGCCATGTAATCTGATGCTTATAGAAAGATTCTTGAAATGTTTTCTAACGCAATTGTCGAGTGCCCAGAAAATTTATACTTTTAGATCATTGTATGACTCATTGGTTATGATTCCGGTTATGACTACAATATAAGCCATTCCGAAATTGAGGAGAAAACTGGGTTGACCTGAAATTGCAGTGCATTTTGGGGATGTTTTAGGGCCCAGTCTATTAGGGACGAAATACTAATACGCCATCTTTGAAATATGCTTCCAAAATGCACTTTAATGCCATCTCGACCCAGTTTTTCTCTGGCTAATAAATCACTTCCTTCGTCAAATCTATCGACATCTTCCTTTATTATTACTTCTTCAATTATATTGCAAAATTGTTGTGTAACTTCAGAACCGTGTAATAAGTAACCATTCACTTGCTATGRTGTTATATATGTCCTAGCTGTCAAGCCTGCACAAGTAACCCAAACTTTTATAAGTTTTAATAAATTATAATTAATTAACAACTGGTGTTGAGGGTTGTTTTTTTCGAATGGGAATTTGAATGGGATGACTAACTAGAGACGTCGGTAGATGATTTGTAAATTTTTATCCAAAAAGTTTTAATATTTTAGCAACATTGATATCTAAGGTCAATAAGTGTCGCGTACATTGTGTGTCATCGTGAAGCACTGAAGTCACGAATCTTCGCCTGATGACATGAACAGCTCTTTTTTGGAGCCTAAGTTTAAAAATCCATCATTACTGGAAAATTACTCAATCCTTAGTTTTCATAACCCTAATCTTCTATTCTAACTTGGAAACCATTCTTCTCATTTCTTAGTAGCTTTTTTTCCTCTAAAATACGAATATTCTTGTAGTTTTTTTCCTAAACCACTGTCCTGCCTCGATTAGTCTTAACTATTTCTAGGGCCGTGGTGATTTACTTCTTATTTGATTGTAATATTTTTTTCGTATAAAATAAACTGTAATAAACTGTTTCATTACTGCAGTTTGGAAACGTAACAAACTACCTTGCTGCCCGTTTTTATTTCAAGATTGTCTGGAGAAGAACGGAATCAATGAGAAACGGGAAATAAGAGAGGGAGGAAGGAGAAACAGCAGGGGGAAAAATAGAAGAGGAAGAAGGGAGAGCYATGAAAGAATAAAAGGGAGGAAGAGAAGGAGAAATGGCCAGGAGGAAAATGGCTTTAAAAAATAAAAAGGAATGATATTTGAATGTCTGTTCTTCTTCACTACTCAAGATTGTACATCTGGATTCAACTCGCACAAAATTCCGTTTCGTTTCCCTTTGTTTCGTTTCGTTTCGCAAACTGCAGTAATAGACTATAAGCGAAAAATCCCACTGGTATAAAATGAGAAAAAGGAAGGACCTTGGATTATTCAGGAAGGAACGCAACCGAGGAGCTCTGGTACGAGCTGTTAAAGGTTTTCTTGGCAATTTAGGAGACTTAAGTAATGAGCCCATTTAGGCATACAAAATGTCACATGTCTGGACGGTCACCGCCTTAATTTCTTCAAACCCTGGCCAGTTTATGTGCGGTTCTCTAATGGGCTACAACACGGAAACATCCTTGCTTAGTCTTTTCACTTCCCTACTGCCTGTTCAGCTCGCGGCCGAACGAGGTATGGGAGAGAAAGTAATTTATTTATGCGCCACCCAATATAGATATATTGCTATTATTAATGTTAATTAGATGTAAGATTAAAGTTAGTTTCAGTGTTTCCTTTTGGCTAGTTACCCAAATACGGGTAGGTTGTGTTTCAGAAATTTTGCATTATGACTTTCCCTGATTTCAAAACTAGTAATAACCAGGAAAAAAACTATAAAAGTTTTCTTTGTGAAGATAAAGTTGAACTTGTGTTACGGGACAACAATCAAAGAAACATATTAACTCCAAAAAATTTTTTTTTTTCATATAATCTTTAACGAAAGTCATTGTTGTGCGGTGACAAAATATTTACTTTACCCATCCCTCCCTACGTTGACTTGACTGTTGCCCAGGCCCCAGGGAGGTCCCAGGCCATTTTCTTATAACCAGCCCTCCCCAGCAGGGTTGGATTTTGACCCACAACAAGATTTTGATTTCCAGGATAATTGAAAACTGAGTTCAGCCTTTTGAAATTAAATTTAAAGTTCGATTTTTAATTTCTAACTTTCCTCTTTATCAAAATTCTGGTTAGAGTTCTGCTGGAAGTAACTATTGGAACAAAAGATTTAGGTTTGTTAACCTTGTAAAACACCTTTCTAACAAAGGTCACTAATTGAATTCTATACACCGGATAATGAAAGGTTCTTCTTATTTACTCAATAATCTGGACTTGGACCTTTTGACTTTCAGCTGTTCACAAAACCAGTTTAGTAAGACTTGCGCAGAAAAGACTTCCTAAGGACATGTATATTTTTGGCGTTCTTCATTATAGTTGTTTACTCATAAATTTTTAGTTAAGAATTATTCCCTTAATTTTGATATAAACTTTGGTTTACTTAGAATAGTATGTTTTAACTTAGAAACACAAGCGACCGTCATCGACGCTTTATTCAGTTAATCCTTTTCTAAAGACTCTTTTTAAGATTAAGGTTCTTAGGTCAATAAGGCCAATATTCTAATTTATTCCTGCAACTCAGTACTTTCACTGGAAACCAGACTCAAACCGGTTTTTATAATAAATTCTACAATTATGCTAATTTATTCTATAAATATAGGTTAGTTTCAGATAGAGAGATAGAGATTCGTTAGTCGTGAAAAAGTCTTGTAACTACTAGTACTTGTGAGCGTCAATAAAGATCCCGTGGAAACTCTAACCATAGTCTCCCCGACTTCACGACAATAATGACTCAGATGCTGGAGGTAAATCAGTCATGACAGGTGCTACTTGGCCAGCATTTTTCTTTTATTCCGATAGTGCCATGTTCCCGTCTTCACCTTTCCACTGTTGGACCTGGAGGTATACTCTTACCAAGTGCACTAGGACACCGAATGTGGTTGGATTTCTATAGGTTTTTTTTCCCTTTCGATTATTTGAATTAAATCAACGTCATACTTGTTTACTTATCTTGCGTCCGTGTTCCTTCGTTTGCTGTTGTAATGCAGACGTTTGTCCTTTGGAATGAAAACGTTTGCATTACAACATCGAACGAAGGAACACGGACGCAAGATAAGTAAACAAGTATAACGTTGATTTAATTCAAATAATCGAAAGGAAAAAAAAACCTATAGAAATCCAACCACATTCGGTGTCCTAGTGCCCTTGCTCTTGCGCTGTAGTATTTTGTAGTTTCGGAAGTCGGAGGGAGGCTGTGAGGACGAATCGTACTAATTGCCAACTTTGCACAGTGTATTGTATATCTCGGGTAATCAAGCTTCTCGCCAGGCTTTCCTTTGTAAAGGCATACCAACGCGTCGTGACCAGATGAAATCTCCTCTTTTGTTGAAGTTGATGGGTGAAAGATCTTTGCTTGCTCGCGAATTAAGTGTGGCGACTTCAGAAACATCTTGAGAGAAGCCCCCTTCCCGAAACCATAAATGCGAGAGGTAGTATCGCAGCCGAGTATAGCGTGGATGAACAAGATATTCTTGCAGACGTCTATGCCTATCTGGCATGGGACTGTACCTTCTTGATGTTCCAAGTACGTCCCTTCGTAGAATTCGTCTTAGGCTCTGGTCTGAAGAATATATTATAGTACAGTAACAACACTAGCAAGTCGGTTACATTGCCGACGAGTATGGTAGTTTTTTCCTTGGCAGATTCCACGGCCGTCTTAGCTATAATACATGAGCGTCGCCTTTGGCCTGGTGTGTTTGGCAGTTGGTGTTTTTCAGGAAAGTTGCTAGCATTTTGATAAACTCCTGCTTGTTCTTCGTATTGAACAGAAATATGTTCTTCTTCATAGCGACATTCATCTTTTCTGTAAAATCCACAGTAGCGCCGACTTTCCCCTTTGCACGTCTCTGCTGAGTCATTGTTTTCGTCGTCAACTTCTCGTATCCATTAAAAACAACGATAGGTGTTCCATACTCCTTGAAGACGTAGTTACAATAGAGAAGGCATAGTTGTCTGAAGGAGTGTGGATTTCTGAGGCCACGGTACCCGGTGTAATAATAGAGCTCTACCATCAAGAACATATTGGGTACCACTCGGAGGTTCGTTTTGTGCATCAGCTTGTAGGTTTTCCCAAATGGCATCAGCAAGAGCAGGTTTCTTTGGTTGATTCATCATTAACGATGAATCAAACAGGGCAGGAGGATAACTGCATAGTTCGTATCGAAACAGGGCTTCCAGTTCACGCGAGTCTTTGCATGCGTGAATAATGCCTTGAAAAAGGAGCTCGTGAGGATCAATCTGGACATGCTCATTGTCAATCTTGACCGCTAATCTTGTTGCTAGTTACTGACTGTGCCTCACGCTTAAACGTGTAGTCTGTAGGCGAATTTCCATTCATCGACGACAGGATCTTCTCCCCTGTGTCTTTTGCTGTGTCGACGTTTACAGAGCTATTCTCACTGAATAAATTATCACCAAGCAGTATAAATTAAGTCAACACTCATTGCATAACGTCGTTTGGACCTTCGAAGTACGAATTTTTCTCGCTGTCCCCACCACCGCCACCAGCCATAAGCCAACATTCTAGTGCTCTATGCACGCTGATTGAACACAGACGGGACTTGAGGCGTTTATGCTGACGGCAGGTATTGTGGRACAAAGTTTAGACATCGGAAGGGCAAGTTCGGAATTATTTCAAATAATTTGCACATTGCCCAGATCTAGAAGAAACTCCGATTGCCTTATCCAAGAATGGCGAAGTTGACTTAAGAGATGTAACGTTTAAAGACACGTCCACAACGATGAAGGTGTGTCTATATATACAATATACATTCTCATATGAAAATTCAAAAACGTTAAAATTATTATACTCCCCTGCTAAATTATACTTAAAAACTTGTCTATTAAAAAACAATTCTTAAAACGTTCTGTATTTATCTTRGGCCTTGCCTAGGATTGTGTGCGCAGCTTCCTAGAGTACTCTTTAGCTTTTGGAAGGAAATTGGATATAACAGATGTAATGAATTATCTTTAATCTTAGCATAGAGTATGCGGTCACACTGTTCTAAAATATTGAAAATATCTTTAGCATATAGTTAGAAAACATTGCATAACATTAAGATCTGACGGACTTGCTTCA